GGTAAACAATTTATTTTAGAAATTCGATTACAAATATGTTGTCTCCAAATTTTACATAAAGTATCTATAGTCTTTTAAATATTCCCAGGACCCCCATAATATATCATATGTTTGACCCTAAATTGTGTATGTATGTCATCTATCACTTTATAACCACGTGTGTTATCCGAAAATGTTTCTGTATTTTTTACCCAATCATCAATCTCAAACTTCTCATTGACTGTAGTTATATTAGAAATAGTTGCATCGTAAAAGGGTTCTTTAACCGGGAAAAAACCATTTCCCATCTGAGGACTTAGCATAAATGCATTATATACTTCTCCTCCCCATTCAATCTTGTTGGCAAAGTTTCGTTTAAATCTGTTTGCTGGCCAAAACCCAATCACTTCTTTCTCCAACATAAGATACCAATTTCCATTTGCCTTGTCCTTAGATCATAACAAAACAAAAATCACTATTATTATAAAACAAGTCGTATATGTTTGTTTGATTTTTTTTAAACCTCATGTAACTTCCAAAATAAATAAAAATTGTTAAATTTCATGTGATTTATTGATTACTTTCGTTCACTTTTTAAAAGTATTTTGTATGTTCTATTTTTTTTTTGTGAGATAACAATTTGTCAAGCATAAATTGTTGAGTTATAATATGGATACTAAGTATACCAATCTCATAAATTAGTAAAGAAGAAAGAAATTAATAAGTAACAAACCTTGAGTAAACTATATGTATCCGTATGATAGGTGTTAGAACCACGAATAGTAACAGGTTGAACAAGAAGACTAAGAGGAATATCTGAATGAATAGATATGAACCCTGCTGGACACATGTTGTTATAACATTGCTTTTCACCTGCCTGTACTATTTTACGCATTGTTATGTATAGCGTTTAAATATATAATACGTAGAAAATTCTAAAATTTTATGATGGGATATTTAATAAATATGTTTATCATGCATATATTACTAATATAATAAGGGTAATTGGCATATATAACCTAAAAAAATCTATAATATATAAACTAACTAAAA